TTAGTCAAATAATTAGAATGTGCCCCTTGGTATGTTAGTAAATGTTAAACAACTGAGTCTCTTTAGAAAACAAAACGGGGTACCTGGCTGGCTCAGTTGGAAGAGCATGTGACTCTTTTTTTTTTAAGGTTTTATTTATTTATTCATGAGAGACATACACACACACACAGAAAGAGAGAGAGAGAGAGAGAGATGCAGAGACACAGGCAGAGGGAGAAGCAGGCTCCACACAGGGAGCCTGACGTGGGACTCAATCCCGGGTCTACAGGATCACATCCTGGGCTGAAGGCGGCACTAAACCCCTGAGCCCCCCGGGCTGCCCGAGCATGTGACTCTTGATCTCAGCTCAGGTCATGATCTCAGGGTCATGAGATCGAGCCCCACGTCAGGCTCTGTGCTGGGCATGGAGCCTGCTTGGGATTCTCTCTCCCTCTCCTGTCCTTCCCTACTGACATGTGTGCTCTCTTTCTCTCATGGAAAAAAAAAAACAAAAACAAATGTATTTGTATCATTTGTTAATATCTCTGGTGTAAATATCCCTACCGTGGCAGATATCAAGCCCCTGACATGAGGTCACTGTACTGGGAGTTGGAAAGAGATATGCAAAATTGGCATTTGTGAGTTGGTATAAGCGAGTTCCAGCATACCACTGATATTTTTATGAAACACAGTGTTAGGCTCACAGCAAGTGCTCAGTAAAATTTCTTACGAGAACATGCTAAGATTTCATAAGATTTCCTTATGTAATGTGTAGCTGTTCTTTTAGGATATCTACAACGCAAATTTACATTTTCTAAACTAAGGAAACAGATTCTGATCTGAAGCAAGATCATCTAGGACTAGAAACAGTATATGGAAGCGTGTTTGGACAATGAGCAATATAGGACGCGTATTTTAATTGGGAGAAATGAAATCCTTATGGCCAAGAGCAAAAGTTTGATTCAGATATGATACTTTAAAATCCAAATTAAAGCCCAGAGCTGGCTCTATAGAAACAAGATACAACGACAAAATACCTACCTAAATGAGGATACAAAGCACAGATGAAGGGTAAGGCCAGTTTCTGGAGAACAGCAAGAAATGTTAACAGGAGAACAGGCCAGGGCTATAAGCATAGTCTTCTAGGTTAATCTTTTTTACATTTTCTAGAAGTTAGTGCTAACTCTATATCCTTGGAAGGAAATAGTTGTAGAAGGTCTGTGTGGGTCTGGCTTCCTTGCTACAGCATAATCCCTTATGCGGTCAGGATGATGATCTCATTCTTTCCTTGGATGCCTGAGTTTTGCATTGATGTGGTCAGTAGTAGCTTTTTTTCCTCCCATTTCATTCATATATTGGTTCATTCATTTAACAAGCATGTGCTGAGTTTCTCAGAGACTTGTTGCAATCTTAATTGGCTTCTTTTAGAGCTGATTTTAATATCATGAAAACACACGCTTATTTTTGTCATATATTCTAAGAGGAAAACAGATTTTTATATATAAATGTTCACCAAAGAATGTAACGTGTAAATCATGGGACCCCTTTATCTTTATGAGGTCGGTGCTTAAGCCACTTTACAGCATTTCTAAAAGTTCACGAATGGCAGCATTCAGGAGATTTACTGTATCAGCAAATTTTTATAGATTAAGATCTCATATTTAATGCTGTGATGAAGCAACTTTTTTTTTAAAGATTTTACTTAAGAGAGAGAGTTCAAGAGAGAGCATGAGTTGGGGTGAGGAGCAGAGGGAGAAGCAGGCTCCCCGCTGAGCAGGGAGCTCGATGCAGGGATTGATCCCAGGACTCCATCCCAGGAGTCGATCCCAGGATTCCAGGATCATGATCTGAGCCTCAGGCAGATGCTTAACCCACGACTGAACCACCCAGGCGCCCCTGAAGCAGCCTTTGGAAAAGACGTCTTTGGATTCAGGAATATCCCTGCTCCCATTTCCATCCTTCCCTTGATCAAGAGGGAAAGTCCTACCAGAGCAAAGTGATCTGGCCGGGAGTTCGAAATACTAGTGTCATTCTTTTTTTTTTTTTTTTGAATAGATTTTTTAGTTTTATTGAAATCTTACATGAACAAGAAATTGGAAATACAATCACATCAAAGAACAAACTGTCACTGCTTTGACGTTTAAGCCAAACAAATTTTGTAGGGCAGAGTTTTTAAATTGTTATAACTTACTAGTGTCATTCTGTGAGGGTGTGGAGAAAATGCTCTGGCCCAGTTCCAGGAGCCATTGCTTCTTCAACCATATATAAGAAAATCTGCTGTTCTTCCTTTCTGCTAGAGGTTGGGGTAACTCTGGGAATCTCCAGGCAAGCCTTAACTTCCAGCATAGGGTAAAAAGAGGTCTGCCTTGAAAGTACTGTTGGAGAAAATGAGTAGAGTGGTCTGTGTCCCTGGACAGGTTGAAAGGGCAGGGATTCCACAGTCTTTTGCCTCCCACGACTCCGCCCACAGCCTCCAGAGTTTGCAGAACGTATTGATTTTTGTGGCTTTTAACCGTGAGATCTCGGGATGGCGTTAGCTTCCGATTCAGGAAGAGCTGTGGTTCCTGAGTGCTTTGCCCAGACAGGCCTGCCAGCAGCTGAGCTCGGCTTCCTGGCCCCGCCACGGCTGCGCCGCACGCTTAGCTTCTGGAGTGGCCTGCTGTCCCCGGGTGCCACATGTCTTAGCCCGCCCAGCTGCAGTGAACCGCCTTGAAATGTTGCCGGCACGCCTGGGCGCCACATGACACTGACAGACTTGCCCTGGAAGTCAAGTGTCACATCTGGCAGGCCCAGCGCTCACAGCTGGGCTCAAAGCCAGACCCCAGCTCTGCACGTTTGTTCCACATGTGCTACCGAGCGCCTGCTAGGAGCCGGTGGCTGCCGCTCCACCGTCGTATTTGCCTGCCACTGTGCCTCCCAGACTACCTGTTGGTCTTGAGTTGGTCCACCTGCTGGTCAGTTAGAGCATCACTAGTAGGAATTCTAGGCGATTTGCAGCCTCGGGTTTGCTGAAAGGATGGCCACCCGTGCGGAAGGCCCCAGTTGCCCTGAAAATGGGCAGTGCTCCAGCTGGAAGCGCTGTATTCCCTCATGTTCAGGGTGGGAGACTCGAGTTCTAGTCCTGATTCTGCCGTTATGTCACTCCGGGCCAGGCCTTCTCTTGGCCTCCATCTCCCCATCTGTTAAATGGGCAGAGTGATTTTGACGGTGACTGAGGGCCCTTGCAGCTCTGACGTCCTTCAGTTGGACTGCAAGCCTTCAGAAGTTTAGAAATGATAATAAAATGACTTTGTGAGCTGGTCTGTCAGGGTTTAGAAGAGTAGGGGAGAAAACCCTTTCTTTTTCTCTTGACAGAGCAAATTGGATGGGACTCTGTTCCTACCATCACAAAACAACTGATCTTCAGAAGAACCAAAACCAGTGCTACTTAAGCAGCAAGTTACAGTGACTGCACTGCATTAACACACTTTTCTTCCCTCAGCAAGAGCTCTATTTTCAGCTGTCACTTCCAATATTGCAGCAGCGTGTTTCTGCCCATTTAGGTTAAGTAGCTACAGTGATTTTGAAAGCACTAATGATTCTTCCATGGCGCCTGCAAATGCCCTAGGTAGAGTCTTGCAAGGCCCTGGCTCTGAAGTCCCTGGCTCTCAGGTGGGCTGGAGGGTCTCACACGTGTAGTGGTGGCTCGTGTTGAATTGTCATTTCTGAGCTCATGGGAGAAAGGAGAAGTGTGGCTCGGAACTCTATGGGGCCAGGATCTTCTTTCTCTGCCACAGGGAAGACCAATCACAGGAGGTGTACAGCCACCCCCCATTGTTGCCTTTGTAAGGGGTGATCTCCATGGCAACCAGGCCACAATGGCTCACTTTTACCAACTATGGGAGTGCTGGGGCTGGAGACCTTTAGTCATTCAAATTTGAAGTAACGGGTTTTCATGCATGAATCAGTATCCTCCTCAAACCTAAGGCTGACAATTGTCCTGTCTCCTCTTTCTCTCCTTTAGCTCACAATAGCAGAACTGATTTCTTTTGTTTGTTCGGGAAACCTCAATCCCACTCATTATTGTTATTTATTATGGCCTCCCTTCATGATAATACAAGACTAATTCCTACTCCGGAATAAACACAGGTTCAGATTCAGCTAACGTCTGTTGAGCCGCTCCTGGGTAGTAATGTAGCATGCACAGACAATGCAATTTATATACATTATCTTAGTTAACTCACAAAATACATAAGTGTGGATTCAAATTTCACGAGCACATTGGCTGTTGGCACACAGTTATCAGTCCTTGAATATTTGCTGGGTGAAGGAATGAAAGATCATGAAATCACAGACTATTCAGGTCAACCTGGCCCTTTGGAGAGCATCCTGTCAAACTCCTTCATTGTACAAACAGAGAAATTAGAGCCCCAAATGTGGAGTGACTTATCCGAGGCCGTATCCATGGCTATTTAAACTCAGTTCTGTCGCAGTGGATCCAGACCACTGTCTTCTGCCGGGCACAGGACACACTGCCTCATAGGAAGGCCAGGTGACAGCAGAGCATCAGAACTCTGATGTGTCGTGTTGCACTTGGACGCGTTATGCTCAGTGTCCTGCTGAACGTAGTGTTTGCGATACTTCTCTGTGAGTGATTCAAGGAGAAACAGTGAGAAATTTGAAAAGACATTTATTGGTACTTAATATTTGAAGGGCTAAAGTAAATGCCTGGCTGGGGGTGAGGTGAGGGCAGCAGCTTGGTGAGGTCAAAGTGGTCCCAAACATGATTTTGTCAGTAGTCTCATATATGACAACATGCGGGATGACTGATTCACATCAGCCACATTCACAAAAAGCTACAGTATCAACCAGAACAACAGTTTATTAATTCATAAAGGGAGCCAGCCTAACACACTAAAGTACATGCAGAGGTTGGTCAGCAACTCTTTAGAAAATTCAATATGGAAGGCCTAATTATAATCAAAAAGTTGCCTAGAGAACCTGAAACCAGAAAAGGGGGAGTGAGATGGCTCACTGGAATGACTCATACCCTTTTTTTTTTTTAAGATTTTATTTATTTTTTTCATGAGACACACACACACACACACACACACACACACACACACACAGAAGCAGAGACATAAGCAGAGGGAGAAGCAGGCCCCCTGCAGGAAGCCTGAAGCGGGACTCAATCCCAGGACACTGGGATCATGCCCTGAGCCAAAGGCTTAACCACTGAGCCACCCAGACATCCCTGACTCATGCCTTTAAGCCACCAGTACATCCTTTTCCACTGTGGGGACATGCTAGTTTAGGAGACAGGGTGCTCATGTTCTTTGGTCGAGGGCAACTTCTTCCTTAGCTCCAGCCAGTACTGGAGACCCACCAATGAATTCTTCCTTGAAGACTACTAGTTCTACATTGCACACTGGCTGTTCTCTTTTAGTTCACAGTTTTTTTCACATGGGGGATGAGACGCAGGAGTTGATGTCACCCTTCTTAGTTACCTCTATCACAACACAATTACAAATGCTTATTGGAACTATTCTGATGGGTTGGTCATTCCTTCCACGATGCATGTATTACAGTAACATGACTCTTTCAGACAAATTTTCCTGCAAGTGCTTCAGGCACTTGGCTTCATCCCTATGCTCCGAAAAGCAAGTCAAAGACCAAACTGAAAGCAAGTCTGGGTTTGATAGACATGTATAACTGTGGACAGTAGTAAAACAGCATGATGTGTCCCTTCCCTCCTTTAATCCTCTGTAGGAAAAAGAGAGAGAGAAAGAGAAAGAGAGACACTGATTTCAGGATTAGGAAACAGAAGAGATAAAGGAAGCAGGAATAAGCATACAGAAAAGGAAATAGTGTTTTCTGGTGAGTTGCAACCTGTCAGTTGCTCCTGTGTTCTTCCTTAACGAGTGAGGTGTTAGACTTGTTATGAACTAGACCAAATATCCTGGATGTAGATCTAACACATTTTGATGATTTCCATGGGAAAGGTAAGAAAGGTCTGGAACATGGAATGCTGCCAAGGAGGGAGAATCAGGGAGTTGCCCCAGTGGAGAAACTTAACACCTGATGGGCAGGAGGAAGAACCTAACCTCACAATGGTGCCAAGGGCTAGACCTGTGGGAGTGGTCACAAGTTCCCATCACAGTACATTCCCGTAGTGATTACATTTTCTAATCTACTTAGTCTAGTAAAATAGGAATTCTAGATAGATTTCTCCCCAGAAAGAGAAAAAGCAGTATTCAGAGAATGTATATAGTCAAATCTAAAGAGATAAAAGAAAGTGATTAGTTAGTAAAGGACCTTGTCCATTTTCTACCCTAAATGTGTCAACCTTGGAAATACATTTTTCTTTAGGTGAGCTTCGTCTTTTCTTTAATCCAGTTGACATACCGGGACACCTTGGTATATATTCCATACTTCCCTTTCATCGCACACTCTTCACCCCAGCTAATAATCCCAGTTAAGAAACTTATGCCTTCTACTTCGGTGACATGGGGTCCCCCACTATCGCCCTGGCATGAATCTTTACCTCCCTCATGGAAGCCAGCACAGAACATGTTGTTATAAATGGTGAACTTTGTGGACCGAAGGCATGTGGCTCGGTCAACAAGTGGAACTTTAAGGTATTGAAGAATTGGAGCCGATCGCCCTCTGTTGAAGACCCTCCCCCAGCCACTCACATAGCCAGACCCAAATTTGAGGAAGATGTTCGAGTATTCCCTGTCAGCAATGCAAATAGGTGTTACATAGCTGTTTAGCATTAAGGGCTCATCCAGTTCCAGAAGGGCGATGTCATGGTTGTACTTATTAATAGTTGCATTATAGCTGTGGTGAAGAATAGTGCGAATCACGTTTCGCTTCTGCTCCGTATGTTCCCTCTTCTCGGTGTTATGCTCACCTATGGAAAATAAATTTCTCTTCAGTCACAGTTAGACTTACACATAAACGTAGTTGCCAAGGTTTTCGATATCACTGAATTAACTGGCAGCCAAGTGTCCACAAGCGCAATCTTGGTAAAATGTAAGGAGGGCCAATGCATACATTTCAGACCAAAAACCCGTTTGGGACCATCATGGAGCTGGTTTGGTCTCCCATGCTGTTGCTAATCTTACATTGTTCAAGTGGTAATGAATCTACCTGTCATGAATTACCCTAGACATTCCTTATATCAAGTATTTTGACCGCTTTTTTGAGCACAGATAATATATTCATTTGGCCATTCATTCAAAGGTTGTGCCAGGCACTAGAGATACAAAGGTGAATGATAGGTCATGGCTTTGGGGAAGGCTCAGTCTGGTGGGGAAATGCACACACCATACATAATTGTACCCCCATGAGATGAGTGTTGATATAGGCACACCAACAGAACTACAGGGGGCTTGGAGGATGGAAGAAGTTAGGTTCTGGAAATATGGCTCCTCTAGCATTAGCCCAACTTAGTAGACCTCAGGAAACTATGATGTGCCAATCATACAGAAGACCTAGTAAATACTGCAGATTCCTATCTTTTTTTTGGTTTATTTACCTGCAACTACGGTAATTTTAACATCAGGCTCAATACAGTGGGCTGCAGTTACCACCCATTTTTCATTGATGATGGAACCTCCGCAGAATGCATCAACTTTCCCATTCAAAAGGACCTGTGGAAACAAGATTATGAAACTTCTTACATAATGTGTTTGATCCTGAACAAAATAAATACAGGTGCTGTTGATAGGCAGGGGTGTGTGTGGGGAGGTGGGGTGGGGATTGGACTCTAGGTGCTGGCAGACCGGAGTGTTTCTGGAAAGTGTCAGCTTTGCACATGAGTTAGTATTTCTGGAGCGTGATCAAAAAAGCCATTTCTGTAACTATTTTGAGGAGGATGGGCAATGATAGCCAGGGGGAGCTCTAGAGGAGGCAGATAGGAGGGAATGGCTTCTTTTGGTGATTTGGGGCCCTTGGATTCCTTTTCCAGGTGAGTCAGATTGTCTGAGGGCACACATTGTTTCATGGGAATATGGCAGGTAAATTCCGAAACGCACTGACTTGACTCCTCTAGATACAGAGTTATTATTGAGTCTTCTGTCCCTGCGTGGGGAAATCTTGCCACAGGGTGAGTTGGAAGAGAAAAAGTATTGCTTGTCCACTGAGGTCTTCTTAAAGCCCTTTTCAAACTATGAATTGAGACCACTGCCCCCCATAAGAGCCGTGCTGACGGGCCTCCGGGCAGTGAGGACCACTTAGCTGGCTTGGGCAAAGTGGACAGAGGCGTCTGAGCCTGGGCATTCTTAAAGAAGAGGCCAATCCATTCTTTCATCTGTACATCTATTGTTTTTTTTTATGTAAATTTGTTTTTTAATTGGTGTTCAATTTGCCAACATATAGAATAACACCCAGTGCTCATCCCATCAAGTGCCCCCCTCAGTGCCCGTAACCCAGTCACCCCCATGTACATCTATTGTATGAGCAGAGTGGACAATGAATATTTTTTACCACCTATCTAGATCAGCTTGGAGATTTTCACTTCTAGTGTACCTGAGGGCTCTGGGCTGCCTCTTCAGGAAGAAAGTTGAGAAGTATGGACACCAGAGGGCGCACTGAACATTTGGTAAACCCTACGCAGGAGCCGACTGGCTCTTAGGAACTCCTGCCCTTTGACTAAAGCACACCTCGTCTCAGACATAAATCCATTTCTAAACTAAGGAAAGAGAATGGTCAATGCCCTGAAGTGTGAATTTGAGAAGGTCCTAGGTGCATGTTCTAGTGAAGATTCTTTTTGTCCTGAATTCAATTTTTTAGAAAGATTTTATTTGAGAACAAGAGACAGCGAGAGTGAGAGAGAGAGAGAGAGAGAGAGAGAGAGAGCACAAGCAGGGGGTAGAGGGAGAAGCAGGTTTCCCATTGAGCAGGGAGCAAGATGTTGGGCTTGATCCCAGGACCCTGAGATCATGATCCGAGCTGAAGGCAGACATTTAACCAACTGAGCCACCCAGGCACCCTTGTCCTGAATTCAATTTACTGAATGTCTGCTAAGTCCTAGACACTGAAGCATTGGCCTCCTACCAGGAGACCTCTGGGGCCGACTCACTGCAAGCCTCTGACCCCTTTTTCTTTTTTTTTCCCCTTTTTCTACACTTCAGCTTTCTCTCTCATTCTAGTTGCTGCCTATTTCGAAAAGTCGTAAAAATGTAGGAAATCTCACATAATAATATAATAAACACCCATGTAGCCACCCTCCAGACTCAACAGTCTTCTTAATGGTTTTGGAAATTTATTGATTGCTTACTATGCACTAATCATTATGCTAAGTGTTTTATGTACATTTAATAATGTGGGGTGATATTAATATATCCATTTACAGATGAGCAAACCGAAGTTTAGATAGGTACACGAACTCCCCTAAGGTCAGTGGTGAAGCTAGGATGCAAACCTTAGTCTGCCTGGCTTGAGAACCTATGCTCATAAGTGTGGTTGGTGGACCAATTAATTGCAATAGAATCATCTGGGATGCTTGTAAAATCATTTGAGGGCACTCCTGCCCGAACTTAAATAGAATATTTGGTGGGTGTGACTAAAGGAAATGAACAGCTCCAGAAAATCCTTATGCATAATTAAGTCTGAGAAATTCTGGTTCAGAATTTCCAAGGCTTGGTGACTTTACATTTTAAAAGTGCTCAGTCCACACAAAGCTGGCTACATAATTTGTGGGGTTCAGTGCAAAATGAAAAGGTGAGACCCCTTGTTCAAAAGCTGGGAAGAAACATGCCATTGAAAATCCTTCAATACAATTTTTTTTCCTTTCTTCTGTGGTCTCTTGCAATCTACCATGGGTGTTCTTTTAATTTAATATTTTTTAAGTAGGCTCCATGCCCAGTGTGGAGCCCAACATGGGGCTTGAACCCATGACCCTGAGATCAAGACTTGAGCTGAGATCAAGAGTCAGATGCTTAACTGACTGAGTTTTAAATTTTACTACTTAATGTCATGCTTCCTCAGGCATGGGGGATATTTGCTGGGAGAGTGCCCAGGAGATGCACCCTGTGATTTGGCAGCCTGGCACAAAGGCCAGGTCCCCTCTCCCACCAGCCAGCCCCATGCCGCATGGGGGAAGGTAAGTCAGTCTTCCCTTCTCAGTGGCCTGCTGCAGTAATTAATTGTGGAGGCATGATTCCCAAGGGATTACAACATCCATACCAGGATGTGCTCAGTATTTAAAACGGAGGTGGGCAAGAGGCTTGCCCCCACCATTCACTCTCCAAATGAACTGTGACAAACTTCTGGTTCTGAGATGTTCTGTGGCCATGTCCCCTCCCAAAATGGCATAGACTGTGTACACCCAACCTCAGCCCTCCCTGCACCTGTGATAGCTGTTGGGGATGAGGAGGGGAGTATGTTACGTGCCCTGGGTTGAGGGTGGCAGTAGTCACTGGGCAGGTATGGGGAGGAAGAGGCAGGCCCAGCCCGGGAACCAGGGGACAAGGGAGTAGGAAGTCAAGAATCCATCCCTAGGAGGTAGGGGAGAGGTTCCAAGCTTCCAGGGTATGGCTGCTCCATTGTCTCATCAGACTTGAGTTCCAAAACACAAAGCATTAAACTCCAAATTTGGGAACCTTCCAAAAACAAGGCCTCATGCAGGTGCGCTGGTTACAAGCTCATGAAGCTGGCCCTGACCCCAAGTGATTTTTAATCACTCAGTAAGTTTGGGTAGCGCTGTCCTATATGGGTCCTGATGGTCACATCTGAAAGCATCCATTCGGGTAACTGGAGTTACAAACTCACATGCAATGAGAGAACGGTGCTTTTCTTCTGTAATAGAGGTGCCTGGACATCTCTCAGCTTAATGGGTTGGTTAGGCCAGACTGAATGATATCCATAGCCCCTGGGCACAGAGACTATGATGTAGCTAGTCTGACTCCTGCCAAAGACTTGCTGCCTGGAGCTTCTACTCCTTTCTGGTGGATGGCTGAGAAATATGATTGTGTTTTTTTAAGCCTGAGAGCATTCCCCCCCCGCCCCCCGCCAATCCCTGATTGGTATTAGAAATTTTAGCAAACATCTTTGCCAAGAAAAAGCCCTAACATATATTTGCATTTAAAGATATTACAAATGACTAGATTTTGGAATGTTTGCTTGGCTACCACAGGATCACAGCTATCTAAATATGAGCTATTTGGGGATGAGCTGTCAGCTTGGCCGAGGACAAGCTCTTGTAAGACATCACTTTGGAAAATGAAGGGAAAAATGGGAAAGCATATGTTCTGAGCAAGGCATCCAAGTTCTGATCTGTCAACCCTTTTCATGTTTGTCTATCCTAATAGGAGCCTGCTTTCTCTCTTTCAGACACATACACAGATGCACAGCAAACACACCCACATCCATCTACAAAATACACATTCACATAGCTCTTCTGATGGTGCTCATTGATAATGCCAGCCCAGAGTAGTAGCTGTTGCCCTGTTGGTTCTCTTCCTAACCTTTAACTTGAATTTGGCCTTCCCCTGTGATTTCAATAAACTCTTATTCTCTTTACGTAGTCACCTCCAATTTTACAGTAAAAAAAAAAAAATTTTTTTCCTGTTTGCATACTAGTTCTCTCTCATGTAAAAAGCAAAACTGGGCAGCCCCGGTTGGCTCAGCGGTTTAGTGCTGCCTTCAGTCCAGGGCGTGATCCTGGAGACCTGGGATTGAGTCCCACATCAGGCTCCCTGAATATGGCCTGCTTCTCCCTCTGCCTGTGTCTCTGCCCCTCTCTCTCTGTGTTTCTCAAGAATAAATAAATGAAATCTTTAAAAAAGAAAATTAAAAAAAAAAAAGCAAAACTGTTTCTGCATGATATACAGCTTGTTATGTCCACAGGTGTGATTCACCCAGCCATTGGCCCGATTTCATTTTTCTGGGCACAGAAGAGATGCTCATCTTCTTTCTTTCTTTCTTTTTTTTTCATTTTCGATTTTTAATGGTTAACTAGACTATTCATTAAAGAGATTTCATCAAACCATCCTAGAGAATAATAATCTAAATGTTCTGTCCAAAATAGCTGTGTGGGGCCAAGTGAGAGTACATATGTCATGTTTTTATTTCTCTTAATTGAAACTTTATCATTTGAGGGTTACTTTTTTCAAGTAAGGACATGTCTATAGTCTTAGGCCCTTCATATAAAATCTTTCTCCCAATCCTTCCCCCTTTACAAAAAAAAAAGAAAGAAAGAAAAAGTTCTGATTCATACATATGGTAACTGCCTGCTGTTTTCCATAGGGGTGTGTCCTAATCAATGGAAAGGATTGGGTGTGTGGGGGTAGCTGTACAGGTCAAAAGTTCAGGTATGTTTACTGATAGCTTCAGACCAAAGCTGAGAAAAGCTGAGACTGGGGAAAATGTTGAGATGTTTTAAAGATTGTTTAGGATTATATGGTCTCATTCATTTGGGGAATATAAAAAATAGTGAAAGGGAATGAAGGGGAAAGGAGAAAAAATGAGTGGGAAATATCAGAAAGGGAGACAGAACATGAGACACTCTTAACTCTGGGAAACAAACTAGGGGTGGTGGAAGGGGAGGTGGGTGGGGGTGGGGGTGACTGGGTGGCGGGCACTGAGGTGGGCACTTGAGAGGATGAGCACTGGGTGTTATTCTATATGTTGGCAAATTGAACGCCAATAAAAAATAAATTTATAAAATAAAAAAAATAAAGATTGTTTAGGCCAAGAACAGAATTAGGAATACACAGATTACTTCTTCTGACAATTTTCTGGTTAAAACAGTTGAATATTGGCAATTGTATGTGATACAACCTAATACACAGGTTAAGGAAAGCTTCACCACTTGGCTTCCATTGCATTCCATTTTTTCAATCTGTTAGAATGATCTCCAAATTATTAAATGCAGAATAACTATGGCTAATACACAGCTGAGGCCCATGGTAAAACAGAAAATAGAAAGACCAGAAAATACTTCACATTCAAGGCCAGACAGATCCAACACCAAAACAGAAGAGGTGGGAGACCTCTTGGGGCAAGTTTCTGCGTGCTCAGAATTGTGGGCTGACAGGGTCAAGGGCAAAGGCCCAAAACCAAATTAAAGCTTTAGAAAGCCCGGGATGGGGGTGTTGCTTTCTCAAATCTCTCTTTCAAACTGTTGATGAAGGTGATCTGGTAGTACAGGTGTTTTGATTTTCCTTTTATCTCTAAGGTTCAAAGGTTTTCATGGCTTCCCTACGTAGTTGTATGAAATTGGAGTCCGGCTTTAGTTTTGCACTCTAAGGATGTGGTCACTCTAGGAAATATCCTGTGTCCTTATGTAGTGCACTTCGCCCTGGGGCTTCCTTTCTGGGATTCTCAAGTGTCCCTGCAGAGTCCCTGAGCCCTCTTCCTTGCACTCTCCAGGGGCTCTGAGCCCTCCGCCCTCATCTGGAGGGAGAATGAAAGCAACTGGCCTCCTGGCCTCCACCAGGCCTCCACCACTGCAGGGAGGTTAGAGGTCAGGTGAGTCCGCCTGCCCTGCGTGCCTGCGGCCTTAGGGGTCCGGGCGTGGGGACGTGGCCAAGGGGTTATGGGATGTGTCAGGGCCTGGCCTGACCTGGGGTGGGGGGAGATGGGAGGGGGAGGGGTAGGCCCAGTGTGGCTTCACCTCCAGCCCGCAAGCTGAAAGTCCTCGAATAAGGTAAGGCTTGAACGTGGCCATGGCCACCCTTGAGCTCGGGGAAGGCGAACCTCACTCCTTAGGGTCTCAAACCTGGGTCGGGGGGCAGTGGTCCTCTGGCCTGCTCTAATCTCCCACCAGAGGAACCAAGGCCGTGGACGCTCTCCCCACGGGTTTATCAGGCCTGTGCTGTCCCCAGCTCTTCAAGTTAACAGTTCACCAAACATTTGTTCAAAGTTTCCTCCCAAAGCTGCCCAGCCCCCCACAGTCACTGTGGCTTTGTAACCCGGGGCCAGGATCTGCCTGCCTGCAACTTTGACCCATAAGCCCTCAAAGCGAAAGTCGCCTTGTCCCTTCCCCTGTGGCCCCTTGGCTCTCGCAAACAGCTGACTTAGACCTTTTCCTTAGCGCCCTAAACCTTTCCAGCTTGATGCCATTCATTACTCCTGATGAAAGTGACCTCCCTTTGTTCTTCCTGCGATTTGTTCACGCAGGTGGTTGCTTTATCTCCTGCCCCCCACCCTTATGGGAAGCATGGAAATTTGGAATCCTATCTGGATGATATTCCTAAACTGTTCCATATTTCTGAGCCATAGATCTACTGTTGTGGCCATGGAACCCCCAGCTGTTGCTTGCTTTCTCTTGATGCCTTGCCTGCAATCAAATCCAGTATAAATCAAGTCAAGTATCAAACCTTGCAGATTAGCTGGGATGTGGAGCTGGCTCATCCACAAATGACAGATTCTGGCTTGTTTCATTTCCTGTTTCATCTTTGAAAGTGACTTTTGTAGACTCAGTTTATCTCCTGGTTTTGAAAACCAGTAACCTTTTGTGAGAAAGTGGGTAGAGGTGGGTGTGGAGAGACAGCTCTTGGGCGGGAAGGAAATAGTGCAGAAGTATGACAGGGTCTTTCTCAAGTACACTAGAAAGTAGTTCAGCTCTTCACCTTTGGGAAAGACTAAAACTTAGTGCTTTGTGCCTCTACAGTCAGTAATCCTACTTCATGTGGATGAAATAGGGAGTGAACATGTGCATGAGTGGTCTTGAACATTCTAGATGATCTTAACTAGGCTTGATGGGAAAGAGTCAATAGGTATACGACTATATAAGTGTGCAATGAGGGGGACATGAAAGGATTTGGAATGATGTGTATCATTTTTATCCTCTTCCTTACTGCTAAAACTGCAACCATCATCTAATGGTCTCTTCTGCTTAAAATAAAAAAAAATAGCTTGCTAGAGTAACTGAAATTCCTATTAGGAAAGATTTGTGTTGTTAAAAAATTGGCAAGCATCTGGCTTAACGGAGGTGGGTGGAGAATGGAAAGATTATGTGACTCAATTGAGACTTTATTACCCTCGTCGCTTTTTAGCTCTTATTGAAGTATTTTTGCCAATTTCGTTTCTGGGTTGACAAGGGGACAATGCTAAGCCCGCAATGTGTGCATCCTGGGATATATTTTTTTTAATCCTGGGGCTTTTTTTTTTAAGAGGAGTCATCTTTTGGCTAATAAAACACCCCTGGGTTAGTGGATCCTCCACTCTGGGGACTACTTTATGTCCCACAGCCACAAGGAAGATAATTATTATAAAGTAGGATCTTTTCCAACCACCTATCCATGGAAGTTGGATACATAATGAATGAGAGTGCGCAAGAACACAAATAGTAAAATCTGATAGAATTAGATACATGGATGTTAAATAGAACGAAAGCATAATTAGAGTGGCTGTATCCAGCAGCAATTGTTCAAGGAAAGGTCAGTGGAGAAGGTCAGTCTTGTGAAGAGTCATGAGAGAGAATAAAGATGTCAGTGAAGGAAGCAGCGCTGGTAGGATCCCTAAATAGAAGATAGAGGAGGTATAAAGAAACAGTGTATTTTATTGGCTGTAAGATCAAGTCTGACAAATATTCCTAAAAGCAGAGCTAAGGTAAGAGAATGGAAAGGAAAGTCTTGGTTGTGATGGTCTATCCCCCTTCAGTACCATTCTCTACCATGTCTGTGCCAAGCCCTACCCCAGGTACATGTTCAGTATCTTATCCATTATATTGGAAAATGTCAGGCATTCTCAAGAATCCTGAGTAGATACATAGTGTCAGAGAATTCCAGTGGTGTTAAACCTGGGACATTTACCTGATCCTGCCTTAAATTGTTACTGGTTGGATGATTAAAAAATCTTCGAAGCTACTGGTTCCTGGTGGCAAAAGTTCAGACCTCAGTAGAGAAAATATTTTGGAGTGAAGCATCCTGAAATAGTCACAAAATATATGACTGTGGCTACTAGGGAGTTTTTAGTTAGACTAAACTATTATAAGCACTGTCCAGTAGAACTTTCTGCAATGACGGAAATGTTCCGTATCTGTACTGTCTAGTACCATAGCCACCAGCCATATGTGGCTTTTGTGCACTTGAAATGTGGCAGGTGTGACTGAGATACATTTTTAATTTTACTTAAGGGTAGTTATTTAGATTTAAATAGCTACATGTGGTTGGTAGTTACGTTATTGGATGGCACCACTTTATATAAGGACCAGCCTGGCTCCTTGCCTCTGGGCCCCACTTCTTCTCTCAGATGGAATCACTTAAACGTTAGCTGTAGGTCAATTACAAATTTTGCTACAGATCTAGCTCTTGGTTGTTGCCTCAGACATGTGCACAGTTGATTCTCATGTGGGTTGTTTGCAGATCACACCTGGAGAAATGTGGGACTAGGTACCATGAGTTTATGGTTTGGTTCCTTTGGTTTCAAATTGTAGTGTGCATCACCGGAAGGGCTTGTTAACTAGCACACAAGTTGCCATCCCCCCAGAGATTGGGCTTCTGTAGATCTGGGGTATGGCAGGAAAATTTGCATTGCTAACAAGTTTTCAGGTGATTCTGATGCTAGCACACTTTGAGCCTTGGGTCAAGCCCCTATTTCAGATCCTAGTTCCAGTAACCCAGTTCTTGTTTTACTCCTATGTGAGTCCTTTTAAAAATCCCTTCAAAATAATCCAGTTTCTCTGGACCTGGAGATTTTCTCTCACCAGTTTTCCCACAAGCTGAAGTAGTACCCTGAACCCCAGTATCTGTGACCTCACTTCTAGACTTCCCAATTGCATGTCTGGAATCCTGCTATGCTTTCCTTGGTGTCAGACTCTCCTTGACCTTGTATGGTAGCTGTCCCCAGACTTCTGGTTCACTCGCTCTCCACCACTGAGGGCTTCTTCATATTGCCTAGTGCTCAAACTTGCCTAAACACTTCCCTCACCCCAATAGGTTTGTCTGGTGCCCTAGCCTCAGCCCCCACCTGGCCTGTCCCTTGCCCTCTGGGCTCCAGTTTTGACACACCATTAATATAGAGTACCTGCCAAGGGAATTGACCTGGTTTGGCATCTTTTCCACCAACAACTCGAGTGAAGTCGTTAAGCGGTTGGGTGATGTTATCCAAAACTTTTTCCACTTCAGTTGAATTTTCATAGTCCATATTGGAAAAAAGAGTTTCAGCACGGGTGCGTGTCATAGAAATGTGAGGGACAGAAACTCTTCCACATGGAAACGGCACTAGAAAGATGGGGAAAAAAATTAGTATTCTGATATTTTTCATTGGCAAGCAGAACGTGTATTACAGAAAGCGAGAATGAGGCCTATCCTTGTCACTTCTGAGAAGCAGGCCCATCAATATTTTTAAAATCTAATCAATGAATATGGTCTCAAACTAAAAGGTTAATTGCATTATTTTCGTGGAAAGTTTTCAAACCCTTCATGAAAAGAACATTTGGCTCAGGAATCCATCATCTTCACGGAAATAGAATAGGTGTTCCAGAATCAAATTTTGTAAGAGTTTTATAAAGTCTAATGACTTTGTTTTGTTTCTTTACTAAAAAGTCTAACTCCCAAGTACTGTCCTTAAATGGTATTCTGATGACTGTTGCCCTATAACTTTAACTTTAGAACTAGGTAAATGGGACTTCTGTGGTTCATTGTGAGCCAGGCTTTCTTTTGTAGATTAGAATGCTTTCAAGACTCCAAGGTGGGTTTAAGGATATGCTAGGAAGAAATCATGATTTAATTATTTCATTTGGTTAAGTATTAACTGGATAAATTGTTGGGGTGCCTGGCTGGCTCAGTTGGAAGAGCATGTGGCTCTTGATGTGGGGGTCATGAGTTTGAGCCCCATTTTGGGTGTAGGGATTACTAAACTTAAAAAAAAACCTTTAACCAAAGAAATTCCTAATATGATTATCATAGCCACATCCACATGGGAACTGGCCACCTTTTTAACCTTGGGTCAGTTTATTTCCTAAAGACAAGAAATTGTCTACTGATACATTGGGGACAACCAGAATGGAAATTTGTAGTCAAGCAAAGTCACCTCACATTTCATTTTCATTTCTCCCTTTCCTTCTAGCCACATTCCTTATAACAGACATTTCTATAGCAACCAGCTGCAGCAAAGTATCATGAAGACAGCATGTGGTTGGGAAAACAGGAAATTAGTTCAAAATACTTATGTATAAATATACATCATCAACAATGGCTGGAGAAAAGGGACCATTACTATTGAAAGGCAAGAAAGTTTATTTTAGGTTTGGCCTACTTACTCTGCTAAAGATAAAGCTATATTCAAATATAACACTTAATAGTTCGAGGTGGTTCTCAATTCTTTTTTTTTTTCCTATCTAACATAGAAGGGCTCATAAGGGTTTAGCTACTATGCCATCTGTCTACACTGGAAGTTAGATTTTGAAGGTTAAAACATATAGATCTTTTTCTCCGGAGCTGGGCAAGCTGTGAAGCAGTGTATGTGAAGAACTAGGCAGAAGGATGGGTGGCTAGGTCCCTGAAGCATTAGAGTCTCTTCATTTTAGTTGAAATAGCATGTACACTCTTGGCTTCTGTCCTTTCTTTAATTTCCTCTGCCGGGTGCTTTGGTGAGATAGGTATCGAACCCAGTTACAGAGGAATGGTGCATGATTTAATGTACCAATTTAATATCAGGCTTTGAAAATGCAAAAGAAATTATATCTAGTTTGCTTCAAAAAGGCCCCTCATTTATCAAATATAATTGATCCTGCGGAGACTACTTTAAAAAAATTTTTTTTAATCAAAGTTTCTATTGCTTCATTTCAGAGAAGAGCAATAGGAGCATGGAGTGGAGATGTTCTGAATATACTAGTCAGCTGTCAACACGGTAGCCTGGTTGACATGACTGGGAAACATTGTTTTGTCCACTGCTGTATGGACTGTGTTGGTCAGCCTGGCACAACTTGAAACAGATGATTGTCGGAACTGTTCTGATGCCAAGTGTGTAAACTCAGCCCGAGACCCAAGGATAGGAAATAACCTTGTCAGGGTAAGCCAGTCACACCCTGACACAATCATGCTTAACATTTGCCATTCCTTGTACTAGAAGCCTATCAGTCAATCATTTATGTGTCTTTTATGGTCTGGGACTACTACAGTAATTTGACTTGATGAATTACAAACATACAGAGGTCTCATAAATTGATTGCTTTATGATCTAAAAGAAAAAAAAAGTACACGGAAAAGAATTCAGACTGAGAACAATTACAGAACTTCCATTTAAAATGATGATTCAAAATAAATAAGTAAATAAGTAAATAAGTAAATAAATAAATAAAATAATGATGCAATTTGAAAAATTGTCCAATTCAAGCTACTAATCTGTTCTATGATTTTAAAAGGAAGTAGAAACAAACAGGGTTTATGAAAGTATGTGGACTAGTTAAAATACTGAAGGTTCAAATATAGATTTGGAGAGTGTTAAAAAAACTTTATTAGATTCTGACCTGCTGGTTCACAGGACCTTTGGTCTTCCGCAAGTTGGTATCCCGTAGTACAGGAACAAACCACCTTGTTATCGGGGCCCAATTTACAAAACTGCTTGCATCTGCCATTCTTAATGTTGCATGTTACATCTGAAAGAAAGCAAAATCAACAGTAACAGCATCATTTCACACGCATTTCTCAAGAGTACATGAAACCAGTGACTCATGTATAGGTCAAGTGTAAGCAGGGGGCATTCATGGAAAGAGGCTTGGGAGCCTTGAGCTGAGAGTAGAAAGAAAGATAAAATTCTTGGGGGGAATCCCTGGATGGCTCAGTGGTTTAGTGCCTGCCTTCAGCCCAGGGCGTGATCCTGGAGACCCGGGATCGAGTCCCACGTCGGGCTCCCTGCATGGAGTCTGCTCCTCCCACTGCCTGTGTCTCTGCCTCTCTCTCTCTCTCTCTTTCTCTCTCTCTCTGTCTCTCATGAATAAATAAAATCTTTTAAAAAATCTTAATAAGGTATAAAACTGGCAGTAATATATTTGGTTTGGCATAAACTGAAGGTTTGGGTCTTCTACTTTCACTAAATCTTGGACTGCAATTTTAAGACACTGTTTATGAGAGGATAGGATATATTCAGAGAAGTCCCCAAAGCTTCAGGGTGAATTTTCACAAAGTGTGTGCACCTGTTTAAACACTAAGTGGATCAATGCATAGGTCATTATCCACATCTCGGAAGCTCCCCCGATGCCCCCTCCACCACTACACACTAGCCCTCCGTTCCAAACTTGCCATCCATTACCAAATCCTGAGAGTGAATTTTGCCTGTCGTTGAACTTTATATAAATAGCAGCTCACACTCCTCTGTGTCTTTCATTTAACCCTTTGTGAGATTCATCCGTGTTATTTGTAAACAACAGTGGTTCATTTGCATGCTGTGTCGTGTTCCATTGTGCGACTATTACTGTCTGTATGCATTTTACTGCTGATGAATAGTTGAGTTTCCAGTTTTTGGCTCTTAGATATAATGCTCTAATGAACATTCTTAATACGTATCTTTTGGTAGCATATGCATGAATACTGGGTATGTGCTTATGAGTGCAATTATGGATCATATGTTCAGGTTTAGTAGATATTGCCAAGCAGTTTTCTGAAATAATTGTACATATTTAAATTCCCACCATTGATGTGTGAGAGTTCCAGTTCTTGGACATATGTATTGCAGGTTTCTTCTCCCACTCTGACTTGCCTTTTTGTCCTAAAATAGTATATTTTGCTGAATAGAAGTCCATAGCTTTTTTTTTTTTTAAAGATTCATTTTAGAGAGAGTGAGCAAGTGGCGGGAGGGTGTGCAGAGGGACAGGGAGAGAAAGAATCTCAAGCAGACTCCCCGCTGAGTGTGGAGCCTGATGCAGGTTTTGATCTCATGACCCCGAGATCATGACCTGAACTGAAATCAAGAGTCAGACGCTTAATGGATTGAGCCACTCAGGTGCCCCACCAAAATTCATAATTTTAATATAATCCAGTTTATCTAAACACACTTGAAGCTGGCTGATATGGGTATATATCAACACAAGAGAATGAAATCAGGTCCTTTAAGGTTGCTAAATGCCAAAGACATTATGTGTGGGCAATGATGAGCATTAGTGGCTCACATTTTCTGTACTTTCCTATATAATCTCCCTTATTAATATGAAGTGTTGTTCTTTGTCTCTTTGTAATGCTTTTTGTCTTGGATTCTACTTTGTCTGATATTAAGATTGCTTCACCAGTTTCTTTTTGTTACCTTTTACCTGAAAATCTTTTTATATACCTTTATTTTAGCCTCCTGGTGTAATTTTATTTTAGGTATCTCTTTTGTGAACAGCATACAATTTGATTTTTTGAAAAAGATTTTATTTATTTATTCATGAGAGACACAGAGAGAGGCAGAGGCAGAGGGAGAAGCAGGCTCCATGCAGGGAGCCCGATGCAGGACTCGATCCTGGAACTCCAGGATCACACCCTGAGCCAAAGGCAGACACTTAACCACTGAGCCACCCAGGTATCCCTACAATTCAATTTTTAACTCCAGACTGAAAATTGCCATTAATCTCAATTTACACTAATTCTGATTTCTGATATATTTGGCTTATTCCTGCCATCTTATTTTGTATTTTTTTGATTACTGTGCTTTCCCTTTGTTTCTCCTATGCAGTCTCAATAACAGGAAGTAGCATGGTTCAGGGCTGGCCAGCTGAGACCTGTTGAGTTAAGACAAATAGGCTCTGCCCTTGGACCTATTTCTGTCTCTAGAGCAGCACAGGAACACTATGAATAGGAGATACCTTACCTCTTACCTACCTGTTCAACAACAGAAATGCTCACTTGTTGGTATAATGAGAACATGGAAAGTTTGAAAATGAGTGACTCTATTAGACACCTCCTACGTGCCACCTTAGTTTCTCTCAGCCTCATGGAGTGTCTGTGCCAGCACTGTGGCCATCAGCTCTGCATCGACTTCTCCTGACCTCATACAGGTGCAACCTTAGATTGCCTTGGCTCCTATCTGCACTATGAGCCCACCCACTATGTGGCACTTCCCTGTTGATGCTGCTGAGGCATGGGATGCGGTATCACCCCTCTGGGTGCCCCAGTGAGTACAACCTGGAGATGTGGGGGGAGTTAACAGCCCCTTGGCTAAACTTTCAACCACTGGGAGACAGATACTGATGGGCAAATTCTTTCACCCTTCTCCCCTTGCAGATGGACAGTCCGAGGCCAATTCCTATGGCTCCTTGGAAAACAGTCCCAGGAGACCTAGCAATCAGTTGCAGATGAGGAGAGAGGACTCTTTCTATGAGTTCTCCTTTCCCCTCTGTCTCACTCTCTTGTCCCTTACTCTTGCTCCCTAGGTTTACACACCCTACTAAATGAGCTCGAGTCACAGACTCGTGTGTGTGTGTGTGTGTGTGTGTGTGTGTGTGTGTAGGGGGGAGGGGATCCAGGCTAACAGAGTGACTATATGGTTTTGGAGTATATTATAGATTCTTGAGTGTCAGATCTAAATTTTCTAATTCTATTTTATATAGGCTAGTGTAGGTTAATGTAATAATTTGCTCATGTTCCTTACTGACACTTTAGGAATTGAGGGGAGGCAAATCAACTGTTGCCAGGTAGGCAAAGGAACCAGCCTGAGCTTTAACCTTTGCTTCCAGTAATCCTCTAAGTGCATGAGCCAAAAAGATGGCACTTGGTCCTTTGTATTTATTTTTTAAAAGACCTTTCTCCTTACTCATGGTGATAACATCCCTGGCTCTTTTCATGTTATTGGTTATCATTTTGTTGTTACAAAGCAATACTGAAGTGTTCAGCCAAATCAAATACCACCTGTAGAGAGTGTTCAGTCAATATGAGATTGTGGTAAGTTAACAGAGGTAGGTGGTAGGTACAGCTTGGTTTGGTTCAGGGCATGCACAATGGGAATGAATAAACTCAGTGTGGCTTTCCCAATTCTGATTCTGTGTCTTTGGCTAAAGGAAATAGACCTGTCCACCATTTTCCTCATTTGTCACTTTTCTTTATGGCTTGGGTTGTGTGTGCAGTGGGAAATATTGCTGTCCAAATTGGCAGTCTTTTGCTCTCAGATAAAGGACTCAGGATTCTGGAAATAAAATAATAGCACAGGGAATTCCAGTGGAGAGGTCCTTAGTCTAGGATCTAAGGAACAGTCACTATGGGACTCATGCTTTATTGAGCAGTTAGATGTCAGGCACTGTGTTGGGTATGGGTTCTCCTTGGTCCTGGGGCCAGTCTCTGTGCCTAGAATATCTGTTAAGCCTCTCAAAGCATCTGTTCTTTTCCCTTTATGTTAGCCCAGACACTTCTTTGTAATTCCACTCATGCCTACTACCAAAGTTATCCTGTTCTGTTTATTTTACTCTGCCTTCTTCATCTTCCCTCCTGTATTCAGTGATGTGAAAACCAAAGCTTGGACAAGAGATGTTCTATTTAACAAGCTTACCATAGAATATGCTGGTATTCAACTAAACTCAAGATATTTTCTTTTCTCCAGTCCACAGAAATATTCAGTCAATAGGAGTGTGGTGTTTACGGAGTGTTACCAAAGCGGAAAAAGTGCTTATGTACTTGTGATTTTTTTTCCCTCTCCATCCTATTTTACTGTGGGTAGATGCCTCTTGTACTCTTTAGAGGTGACAGAATGACCCAAGTCCTTACAGATCTTGATATGTCTGGAAAGGCCTCAGATGTGATGTGTAAATGGGGACATACAGTGGTCGTTATTCTAACCAAAGGGACACAATAGCCAATTAGTTGTTATTCTTTTAACTAGAAAGCATGCCCTGGAGAAGAGCCTGATGAGCAAGGGAAAAGGCAAATAACAAGATCTTAACACTGGAAATCTCCCTGCTTTTCCCCCAAGACAAAGGTGAGGCAAGAAGCTTGGGGCTTCAGTGTTCTATAAACTGCTATCTAGTAGCCTTTGAGGTCAATCTGTAGATCAATTTGAAGCAACAGCTTAAGTGGGAGTTTGTATATGCTTTTGCTTTCCTCTAGTGTCTGAGATAAAAAGAATTTTGAGAGAATTCCCGCTTTGTCTCTGACCTGCACCAAGAGGATGTTTCTAGACTTTGATCAGGGAGGCTGGGGGAGATGAATGTTTCCTAGAGGCCAGATGTGGTGGTAGATGCAGTTCAACTGCAGAGCTCCTTACCAAACCAAAATGTGGGAATCTGAGGCCTGAGGTGGTGGCAGCTGTAGACTTACCACTTCTGCTGTGTGGCCCATAGCTTCAAGCGAGTAGCAAAACCTCTTACAGAGGTTTTGTGTTTGTATTTACCTTCCTCAGGGTAATTCTCCTTCATTAAAGTGTCTTTATTTTAAACTAAAGACATTTAGGAATATTTAATGCTAAACACTATTTTTTTTTAATTGCTCCTAATTTTACTTTATTTTTTTAAAGTAAGCTCTATGCCCAAAAGGGGGCTTGAACTCACAACCCTGAGATCCAGAGTTGTATACTCTGCTGACTGAGCCGGGCAGGCTCACTAAATGCTATTTTCAATTCTACAATGTGGCCTACGTTTTTAACTGAGATTAATTGAGTTATTCATTCCCTCAGCTCCAATGGTTATATTAGTTAAGCTGATAATAACTACTCCAAAGATTTCTGTAGGTTTCCATAATAGCAGGATCAGATTTATCTACGTAAGTCTAAATTTGAAATTAGAACCTTTCAGATGAAAGTAGCACTGCAGAGATCTTCAGCGAATTACCACACCCACAGGAAAGGTAACCCAGGCATTGGTTTGCCCCCATGCTGGGAAATCTAAGGGAATGGGAATTCAAGCCAGGGGTACCAGTTCATCCACCTGCATCCACTCTTTTCTTTCTTTTTAAATGTTTTTGCCCTGCTGCTTTTCCTTTTCTTATATTCTATTCTTTTTTATCTTTTGGATCTCAAAGGAAGATGATCAGTGGAGCTCTCTTTAGTACCAAAAAGATTTCTGAACATTACGGGTGACTTTTCTTCCTTTCTCTATAGGACAAGTACAGCCGCTGAGTTTCATTTTGTTTTATGCCTTTTTCATCTGTATGTCAGATGAATTGCTAGTATTAATAGAGTCCTGCTAATTTTCTACTCTTTGCCCTTAGTCAGGTAGCCTGTGCTGTTGAATTCTTTCCCTAGGATTGCATCTCCATTCTTTTGGAATTTCAGAGAGGAGAGAGAATCTGTCATTAGCATGGTGTGCCTTTCACAAACATAATACCAGTAATCTTGCATCCAGAGATAATAAGCAAGTAGGAGAAGGACTTAGGATTTACTGCTCCAATTGCCAAAAATCCCAGGGGGGAAAATATTCTAGGCTATGAGAGAAAAGATGTACAGTGCTCCTAGATTTACTGTGTAACTCTTTCAATGTAATCCATATAAGTCAAATTCAGGAGTGAGCTCTGCATTTTGTCAACAAATTTAACATGAGAAGTGGTTAGTATGTGCAGAGAAGTGCCTGTTTTATGGAGAACTGGCCTCCTCATATCTCAGTTCTGTATTTCATTGACTTCCACTGCCTATGTTGATAACGATTTAGTCATGAGTTCAGACAATTGTATGGGTTCGATTTTCTTTGCATTTTGTGAATGGAGAAGTGTGGGCTTTGGTCAAGCTGAAGTTCAAGTTCTGACTCCATCATTTATTGCCTCTGTGCTTCTGGCCTGTCTGAGCTACAGTTTCCTCATCTGAATAGGATGAGGATAATAATGGTACTGACCACATATGGTTGTATTGAGGATCAATAAGTGAGGGGAGCATCATTACCAACTGATATTAGCAACCAAATATTATTGCTCCTACTGTAGTTTTTTGAACTCATCCCAGAAACTATGACCACAGACCAGATTAATGTTTATAAGCTTTGAAAGTATGTGCTTTATACGATGGGATATTATTCAGCCTTTTAAAAAAGGAAATCCTGTCATATGCAACAACACAGATGAACCTGGAGGACATGATGCTAAGTGATGAGTCAGTCATAGAAGGACAAATCCTGCATGATTCTACTTATTTGAGGCAGTGTCTGCAATAGGCAGACACATAGAAACAGAGAATATAATTGTGCTTGCCAGGGGCTGAGGGAAGGGGAAAGGGGGAGCTGCCGTTTAGTGGGTATATCGGTTCAGTTATGCAAGATGAAGGAGTTCTAGAGATGTGCTGTATAACACAGTGCCTAGAGTGACCAATACTATATTGTACACTTCCAAATTTGTTAAGAGCATAGATCTTCCATTAAGTGTTCCTTACCACAATAAGAATGTTTTTAAGAGAAAATTATGATATATAAATACTGCATTTTCCAGTGTAATCCAGTTTCACAGGGAAACATGGAACCATGAGTAATCAAAAAATGGCCACTTACCTAATTCACAGTTCTTTCCTTCAAATCCAGCTCGACACCAACATTCATAGGAATTAATGTCATCCTTGCATACACCGTCATTTAAACATGGATTGGATTCACATTGATCTCCATCTTTGAAATAGGTTAAGAAGTTGAATTAGCAAATAAACTGCTTAGAATGCCTCTGTGTGCAGATTCCTGGGGAGGGGAGCCTGATTTTAGGGTCAGAACTGCTGACGCTGTTGATTATGGGATGCCCCTGTCTTCCAGAGTTTCTTCTTTTTTTAAGATTTTATTTATTTATTCATGAGAGATGCAGAGGGGGGGCGCGCAGAGACATAGGCAGAGGGAGAAGTAGGCTCCACACAGGGAGCCCCATGTGGGACTCGATCCCAGGCCTCCAGGACCATGCCCTGGGCCGAAGGCAGGCACTAAACCTCTGAGCCACCCAGGGATCCCTCTTCCAGAGTTTCTAAGAGCAACCCAAACAGAGGTTCTTAGGCTGCCATCCTAGGAAATTGCTCTGAGGAAGGCATGCATGTAGTTCATGCAACCCAAGGGAAGAGGAAGACCGAGAAGAATGTCAGAGGTTAGAAATGTACTATATGAGCACAGGGGGAGAAGGGTTTTCATTCCTTTCTTCTAGAACGACGACAGGTTAGTTCTGAATCAAATCACATGACTCCAACGATGATTATCACTATGTCCTACCAGAGCCTGTTATGGCAGGTCTTGCAGAGCATGCGGAGCTGGATAGCATATGGTACTTCCACTCAAGGAACTGGCAGTTTAAACTTGTAGCAAATGCATCTACTTCTTTCTGGTATCATTTAACTCTATGAAGTATAGTATGTAGCAATGGTTCAGAACAATAGAAGAGATGCCAAAGTTTCTCTCACTGCTTGAAGATAGTCTGCTGTCTATGAGTTAGGTCCCAAATGGTGTAGGTAAAGTGAGAAACAACTTTTATTTAAGAGATTTTTTTAAGTTTTATTTAAAAACATTTTTTTTAGTTCTTTAAAATTAATTCCAGTTAGTTGACATACAGTGTTATGTTAGTTTCGGGTGAGAAACAGCCTTTACCACAAAGAAGAAAAAATGAGAAGGTTCTGAAGATACGCTTTATTTATATATAGATTGGCTGTGTTTCCTTTCTACCTTTCCTGAAGTTTGTACATTTACAGCGCTCTTGAGAGCCTTTGAAGACACTGATAAGAAAACAGGACAAAGGAATAGGCAAGCGGGGAAGGGTCAGGATGAGAAGGGAAACTTTAAGTCTGGTTTCTGAAAGCTCTGGCTCAATCCATACTTCTAAGGAAGCTTCAGGAGAAAGGGATGAATAGAACCAGAAGGGAGACTGGTACACACTTTGAGCTAAGAGTAACAGCCCTGAAGAAAAAATAAGAGCTAGGTCAGCAAGTGGAAGAGGTAAGGATGACATAAGAATGAACGAAAAAGGAAGAAGGGGATGAGGAAATAGGAATTTCTAATTATTAGTCCTACTTCAGAGCAAAACTCCGTGCCATCTAGTGTGTCGATGTGGCTGCCCTACAGAGAGGATTAGCTCGTCTGTCATACTCTTGGTCAGCAGTACGCGTCCCGGTCCCATTGACTAAGGGCTCACATCCCTTTCTCAGAAATAGTCCCTCTCTGGAAAATCTGCTTGCTGGAAAGATTAGACCTTGTCCCCTCTGCCCCTTGATCCAGTGTGCTTTTGCACAGATAGTTCAATTTGTTCCAATTCTGTGAAAACAAAATACGTTATCTCTGGTTTATTATTATTGATGTTCAAACTGGTCTAAAAAACGAGCCACATTTGCACTTTATATTATAGACCAACATTTCTGAATTATTTAGGATGTTTCACTGAAAGGGTCTGGGCTTGCAGCCAGCTACATAGCAACTCATTTGCTGAGACATATCTTTAAAATGAGTATCCTTTTAGCTGCATATAGCCCTCCTTTGGGTGCTTGTCTGTGTGTACTTTGGGCTCAGGCAAAGCTACAGACAGTAGGGGGTCAAAGACAACAAGGGACAAGCCCTTGCCAAGCGAGAGATTCCTGTTTAAGGCTGCTGGGTGGTTGTTTAATGAATCACTGCATCTGGCTCTGAAGGCCGGGAGGAGTGATAGTGAGAAGCAAGGGCTTGCCCGTTGGAGAAGTTGGGTTCTCTCCTGGGCCCCGTGACTCCCCAGCTGGGTGACCTTTGGCAAGTCTTGTAGCCTCCCTGAGCCTCAGCATCCTCTGTAAAATGAGGTACATAATGCTTTGCTCACAGGGTTGGTGTGAGGATTAAACACGATAGGCACTCTGTAAACTGTAAAGTGCTGGACAGATGCTGGCTAATGTACTTGGATGATCTTTCTTCTTCAACTAGACTCTGTCCTTATTGATAGTAGAGAATAAGGCAGGCATGAGGGGCCTGCACCGTGCAGAGTGTGAAAGCCCATACAGTAAGAAATAGCATCGGCTATTTGGGGGGGGGTGGTTAGGAATCTTGGCTGCAAGTGAAAAGAGGCCTGGAGTTATTTTTATTTTGCTTTTTTGTTCTCAATTTTTGGTGGATGGATGAAGCAGTAGTGAAAGAATCCTGCCCCTGATGTCCCCGAGATAGCTTTGCCCCACGTACAGTAAACAATGTGGCCTGTGACCTAGAAGGCAGGTGGCTTACCTTCAAAATATGGTTCTTACAGGGTCCTGACCAACCCCTGCTGGGGAGGGGGGACAATCAGGAAGTCATGGGAACTTAAATACAGCCAGGATCTTTTTGGGGGTGTGGGAGTAGAAATTGAATGGCTTTTAAAAATATATCACAAGGGGCACCTGGCTGGCCCCAGTCAGTGGAGTGTGTGACTCTTGATCTTGGGGTTGTGGGTTCGAACCCCATGTTGGGGGTAGATATCACTTAAAAAATAAAATCTTAAAAAATATATATCACAAGATGTAAAGTTTTAAATATAATAGAAATAGAGAATAAAAAGATTCATTTGGACTAACTGAGGGGGAATACCAGAGTAGAGAACTGACATGGTGGGATTCATTACTACCAATAAGGAAAGTCAGAGAAAGTAAATGTAATGGAGAGGCCCTCATCCTCCCTCAGGATTTAAAAAGAAAAGTGGAGAAGTTATGAATTTCTCGAGTGTGGACAAGTCTAATAGTGTTTCCAGAATAGCAACTGGAAAATAGAACTAGATCTCAAATTGCTGGAACTCAGTGGATTTGCTGTCCAGGATCTGTCCCTGTGGATGGTCTTGGAGAAGTCAACCTGTGGAACTTCTGCTGCCTCAAAATCCTGCTGCTGGGTCTTACATTCGTTTTAAAGCTTAGTTCTCATGAAAGTTTTGACTTTTCCTCCTTTTGGTCAATTCATTCAACAAATATTTACTCAGTGCTTCTGTATTCAACATACCGGGAATACATCAATAAACAAAACACTTGAGCGCCACTGCCAGTATGAAACTTGCATTCTGATGAGGCAGGGAAAACAGATAATAAATAGTATAAGCAAGAGCATTCATTAAATGTTACCTCAGATGGTGAAAAGTGCTGTGAAAAATAGTAGAGGAGGTTGCAGTGCCTAGGTGATGGGGTTATAGGGCAGCAGGTGGAAGTACTAAGAGATGATCAGGGTAGGTTTCATGGAGATGGTGACATTTGGGTAAAGCGGTGGGGGAGCAAGTCTAGGGGGGAACCTGGCAAAAGAGTTCCCATGTTCAATGAACAGTCAGGTTTGAGACCAAAGCAGAAGCATTCCTGGAGTGTGCAGGGAGCAGCTGGGAGGCCAGGATGGCTGGCCCCCTCCTCCCCATCCATGTGTGCGGAGGAGAGGGTCTGAGGGCCAGGATGATCATGGGGTGCTGTGTAGGCCATCATAAAGGAGGAAAACTTCTAAGCAATAAACATTTAAGTCGGTCAGCATTTTCACATTCTCAACCGAGGACACAAACTCTCACTCAGTCCCCAGATACAGTCATCTAGTTTCTTTCTTCCAGCTGCTTGGGCTCCAGCAATGTCTCTTTGAAGCCCTAGGGACGAGTCGGCTGATGTGCCAGCAGGTATCCCCCATGCTGGCATAAACCTGTCATATATCACCATCGAGTCTTGGGTAAAAGAGTCCAACTCTTTTAACAGAGTTTAATATATTGTCTGTTTACACAGAGAAAAGATACCTAATTCTCAAATATTTCCTATACGAGCTAGAGGAAAAAATTAATTGCTTACCAACATATTGCTTCCAAAATTCAGTCTATAAAAAAAAAAAGGACAAGTTAGTGGTAGTATCTAAAATATTTTGGATTTGAAAAAAAATAAAATATTTTGGATTTGATTCCTTGCCTTTGATAACATTTATAATACATATATATGGATAGATATCTTAAAATTCCAAAGAGAAGTTTCTTTTTCAGTTTTCTGTACTTTGGATCTGAAGAACATTACGCACAAATACTCACGGTTTTTTCAGTGTTTTCAAAAACTTCCCGTGCTTCTTCAAAACTGCACTTTTCTTCTATACATTCTCTCTCAAGGTTCCCTTGAACAAACTCTTCCAGTTTACCTGAATTATACCTCTTTGGCCGACTCAGAATTTTGGTGGCATTTTCACGATCAAGAAAAACTGAAATTCAAAAGAACTATTCTTTAGCTTTAGGAAAAAGAAAACATCATGAAAATTAAATACATCTCTTAAGAAAGGCTTTGTTTTTAATCCAAGTAATCCCAAAGCCAATTTATCTTTGGGGCACAGAGCCAAAATCTGTGATGTCCTCATGGTACTGTATACACATGGAGATTTAGGAATTAAAATTCAATTTGGCTTTTAGTGAAGAGAGCTCCAGTAATGAAAGGTCAGATTTTCAATCGCATTTGAATTTACTTTGGATGAAAAAGAAAGTTCTCAAATAAGCAGTTAACTTCACACTTTGTCATCATTTGAAAATAGCTAATTGCAGATCCTTGCAGGGTGATCCATCACCCTGGCTGGGCTGTGTTCACACGATGTGGTTGTCCAAATGACTTTGCAACAAATTTCTCTTGGAAGAACGGAAGCCTAATTGTAGTCCAGCTGCAAATGCAACCCCAGTGTCTCTCACTGGATGTTAAAGAAAAACCACTGCATTAATTTATTTTCAGACTCACACCACCTTTGGTTGGCATGTGTTAGGGGAATTCCAATGATGTAAGTCTTTCTCTGGGATTCAGGAATGTGACTGACTTAGACTGTGACTGCCTAGCCTTTGGGGACACTCCCAACTCTGGAGGATTGAGGTCTCTGACCTCATTCTCTCCTTCCCTCCCTCTCTCCCCACATTCAAAGCTCACTCTCTGTCTCTGCGTATGTCTCTCTAGATAGATCTAGAAAACATATCTGTATCTATAATTAATAGCAGGAACCCAAGAAGTTGCTGGAGTTGTTCCTGCTACCATCTCAACAGGATAGAGTGCTTATAAGATGAACTTTCCACGGGCTCCTGGGTGGCTCAGTCAGTTAAGCGTCTGCCTTCGGCTCAGGTCATGATCCTGGGGTCTTGGGATCAAGCTCTATGTTGGGCTCCCTCGATGGAGAGCCTGCTTCTCCCTCTCCCTCTGCAGCTTCTTCCCCTGCTTGTGCTCTCTCTATATATATCAAATAAATAAAGTCTTAAAAAAAAGTGAACTTTCCAGGCATTTTGGGCCTGCTTTCTCATGAATTCAAAAAAAGAAGGAGGAAGAGGAGGAAGAGAAAGAGGAGGGGAAGGGGAGAAGGAGAAGAACTAAACCATATTCCCTTATTTTCATTGCAGCTGTTCACTTTGTGGAGACTTCGAGTCCCCTGACAAACCTCACTTTTCTCTTGCTCTGCGAGTCCCCTTGGACTTCACTCTTTTTTTTCCCCTGAATTTAGCTTAGACTTTTTCTTTTCAACTCTTGCCAACGTTCTCAATTCCCTACACTCCTTCCTCTGTGCTGCGATACCCTGCAACTCCAAGCGCTAGATCAGTGCAGCCATCTGCCCGTCTGCCCTCCCGAGGCAGCTGAGCGCTGTGGGAGAAAATCACCAGGCTGCAGGTGGGCCCATCACACCGTGATGCCTCCCGCCTCCCCGCCAGGCCCTCCCCTCTGCTTGGCAATTTGTTTGCTTGGCCCTCGGCTCCCTGCCTATAGCATCTACGTTTGCATCCAGTTACAGTGCGGCTGGGTGGAAAAACAGGGGTTTGCAGTCAGACACACCCGGATTTGTACAATCTATCTACCACCTGTTGGCCGGGGGACGTTAGGCAAGTGACATAATCTCAGAAGCTTAACTTGGTCAAATGCAAAATGGGTATATAACAGTGGTATGATAAGAAAATCTACCTCCTAGTGTTGATAGGAGTGGTGGGATAATATGTGTACATGGTATGTGGTGTACACTGGTCCTCTTTCCCCCCCTGCTTGTCTCATGCTGGCCTGCCTTCCCGTTTCTCAATTCCCTTTAGCGCCTTTATGCACTTTTCTGTAGTTCTTTCCCTTCTTCACTCCCGTCCATATAATGAAATGACTATTGTCAGGATCAGCAATGACTTCCTAAAGGATAGTTTTGAGTTTATGTACTACTTCTCAACCGCTCTGAAACATTTCTAATGCTTGATCTCCGCCCCCCCCCAGGGGGCTCTTCCCATGAAGTCATTCCACTGCCTCTTCCCTTTGCTCTAACTCTTGTTATTCATCCACTGCTTGAACCAATGCATTCCTAGTTGTACGCCTCCCCCCTTAAATGTTCAGAGTGCTCTCAGGGTCCCGCCTCAGCCTGTTCATGCTGTACGTCTTTACCAGGGCCAGGACCGGGGCAAGGTAAACGAGGCATCTAGGGCACAAAACGTAAAGAGACACTGTCTCTCAGCGTGCACAAGCAAGTACATTCATGCTCCATGTACTTTGCTTGCCTCCCCCTGGCCCAGCCCTGACTCTCTCAACACCATTTTCTGAGCCCTCACCACGGTCAGCCCAGCACTGGCCACCACGTTATCCATGCTCACTCCCTGCACCCTCACACACGTGGCTGGAACTGCTCTTTCTACAACAGTGGGTTCCAAATACCCATCTCTGGTCAGATACATCTTCTGAGTTCCAGATCCTCTTTCTAGCTCCCTAACTGTATATTGTCCTGCAACTAATCAGAGCTGATGTTTATCTAATGCTTCTGAAGTGCTGGACACCATGCCCAGTGCTTTGCGGCCATTATTTCATTCCATCCTCACGGCGGTCCCATGAGATAGATCCTGTCCTCTCATTGTAAGTGAGAAAAATGGAACTTCAGAGAGGTTAAGTAACTTGGCCCAGGTAACATACTCAAGTGTCAGAGCCAGGATTTAGACTTTGGGCAGTCAGATGGCATAGCCCGTGCTTGTAGGTACTATGCTGTGTCCTGTGATCATGTCAGATGCCCAAGACGTACTCTCCACGCTTCTCTGAACCTGTTACCCTTCCATGGCCAGATGGCTAAGTCATCATTTCTACTTCCTTAATGTCACTTGAATTCCTTTTCCTCTTCTCTGTTTGCACAGAGAAGCTAATGGCCAGGCTCAAGCCCTCATGCCTTCCCCAGATGATTGTAGTGGTTTCAAGACAGTCTCCCAAGTCTTGCCATCATTTCCTCAAATGGTTCATTAGAATGTTGCCAGACTGCTGATAGGTAATGGGGGGGGGTACTAAAGAGTACACTTACCAGGATGAGCACTGCATAATGTATACAACTGTTGAGTCACTCTGTTGTACACCTGAAACTAATATAATACTGTATGCAACCCATACTGGAATTGAAATAAAAAACTTAATAAGAAATAGTAAAAAAAAAAGAGAATGTTGTCAGACTGAGCATTCTAGATCAGCCGTCAGTGCTATTCCCATTTACACTTCTTTTTTAAAATATTTTATTTATTTATTCGGGAGAAAGAGAGCATGTGTGAGAGAGTACGAGCAGGAGAATGGCAGAAGGAGAGGGAGAAGCAGGCTCCCAGCCAGGCAGGGAGCCCGAACAGGGAGCCCAACTTGGGGCTTGATCTCAGGACCCTGGGATCATGACCTGAGCCGAAGGCAGAGGCTTAACCAACCGAGCCACCCAGGTGCCCCTACACTTCTGATGCCTCAATAATTGGGTTCTGTGGTCCAGATTCCTTCATTTCAGAGCTTCATTATCTGGTGACCTGACCCTGTCAGCTATCCTACCTCACTTGTCATATTTAATATTCCAAACATCCTGAGTTCCTGAAAGACCTCACATTCTTTGTGGATCACACATGTGATTCTCTTTGCATAGAATGCCCTAGATCAGACATTTAAGGAGAGTAAACCTATTCATCTTTTAAGATCCAACCAAAGATACTCTCTGTTAAGTGTTTTCCCAGTTAATGTATTGCTCTCTTTATGGTCCTTTAGTACCTGGCTCACACTTTGTCCTATTACATTGAAATCTCTCCCCTGACCTCATGGTGCTTTGGGTCAAAGAGGGAGTCTGGATTATCCCCGTGCCCCTAATATTTCACCCCAGTACCTGGCACCATAGTAGTTGCTCAGTTTTGTGAAGTTTTGTAAAGGGTATGGACTGAGGCTGTCTTTCATTCATTCATTTCATGTCTTCATTCTGAATGAAAGACCTCTTCAGCCCATACACCTTATAAAACTGAATTGATTTCACAGAAATTTTGATTTCAAAAATCTAAACCAATGCAAGTAATACCTAAGGGCAGCAGTCATGAAAATGTAACATCTCTGCAAGTCATTCACAGAAACAGCTTTTAGAAGCCAGTGACTGTTGAAGAGCAGAAGAGAGCGCTGCATTAGTACTGGCCATCCTTTGGGAAATTCCCCTGGCTTTCTCCTCAAGGGCCTGTTATCTCTGACTACAGTGACTCCAGAATCAGACTGCCTTTCGCCTCAGTATTGTCTGAGGGTCGTATATTTAGCCTCTCTTCGGGGTTTATCTCTTCTAGCCATTATTTCCCCAGTGCTGAAATCCTAGTCCCCCGACCCCCAGCGCCTGCCATATGTATACTTTGTTTTCAATATGTGAGGTCTTCAGGGGAGCAGTAGCCCTCTTGAAATGTCCATTATCTCACCACTTATCCTGAAGGAAGGGCTTGGATCTTTTGTCCTCCTAGATCTCACACTGATGAGATATGTGTAAAGACTTAGTTTCATGTCCTACTTTGTGAATTTTCCAGCTACGTTTCTTTATTTCTTCACTCTACCCACTTGGCCACTTTGATTTAACCTTTGCATTCTCATATCATCATTTCTGTATTTCAGTCTGACATCATGTCTGGAGTGGGCAATACGGAGCCAGTCTGCTTTCTGGGGACCCTTAGGGTTGGCACCCCTGATCCTGGCACAGTCAGCTACAAGATTTGATTATAGTAGGTTGACAAGTAAGGGTGATAAATGCTTCCTGTGAGAACACACTGTTTGCCTAAATGGGGTAATTTCTTCCCTGGGTGCCTTCCTTTGGGAAGTGCATAAAGTCACTGAAGTTGTGTAAAAACCAAGTGCATTATTGCATTAACTAAGTTCCTACTGCTTGTGTCAATTTTTGGACTTGTTTTGCTCAAGTGAGTATCGGGTTTCCCTGTGTATTAACTCTGAGATGTTTCGAATCAGAGAGAAAATAATTTTTTTCCCAATTCATGAAAAACTTTAGGAATAAGTAACAACTTCATAATGAAAAAACTCATTTTAAGTAAAACTTAAAATCGTAGGTATATGATTTTATGGCTATTTAAATTTAGAGGCTTGTTAAAATTAGAGGCTCAGTTCTAAAATTTGGAAACACATCAGATATCTTAAAATCAAACTGTGTAAATAAAACCGATGTTGGTGGCTGTAATGTGACACATGCCATTTTGATCTCAAAGTGGTAGGTTAACCCAAAACGACAGACTTAATGAGTTCCTCACATGCTGCTGTTTCCTGGTTAAGACATTTTCCCCACTCTTAGTGTTCTTTAACCAAGGAGATTGTTTTCCAAGCAGGATCACGTTGCCTAACAGTGTCCGTTTAAAAAAAAAAAAAAGGAAAGGTACTATAAGCATTGTAAATCTGTTTTGTTTTAGCAATAAAGAAGGCACAGCTACCAGAGAACCAGTACTTACCAACCCACATGCTGACGACTAGGATCTTAAACGTTGCTATCAAACTCTGTAACCGTTAGTTAGTGGAGAAGATAGCACCAGGCATTTCTACAGCTAGAAGACAAGCATACTCAATGTATCTTTAAAAAGGAAACCAACCTGCACATTCGGCACTGAGTAGGTATCCTAAAAGGCAGATGGTGACGAGGCCCGGTGCTTCTGCCATGATCCTATTCAGGCGCTGCCTAACCTTTGCTGATGAATTGTGCAAGGAGCAAGGTTGACCAGTTGTTCCAAAGTACAAGTTGAGCTGTATTTACTTCTGGGAAACAGTGTCCATCTCCCTCAGTGGGTCTTTGGGCTATTTCCAGTGGCCTCTTGGGTTAAGAGTGTAGGCAGTGTTCATCTTTAAAGCTCGCCTCTGATTCTGTGGGCTTCTGTCACTGTGGCTGATTGGAGGCTGAAGCCGGAAGTGACACATCATCGGAACAAGGGGGGATATAATGGCTACGGTTGCTGTGGCAGCAAAATTCACCCGTTGGATCTGTCTTTATCCTTGTCCAGGAGCACTAACGTCATGTAGTTTAAAGGGATGGGCTCCTGAGTGGTTTGGTTGCTTAAGTGCCCGACTTTTGGTTTTGGCTCAGGTCGTGATCTCAGGGTCGCGGGATGGAGCCCCATGTTGGGCCCCGAGCTAAATGCAGAGTCTGCTTGAGATTCTCTCTTTCTCCCTCTGCCCCTCCCCTCTACATGCTCTCCCTCTCTCAAATAAATAAATAAACCTTAAAAAAAAGAGAGAGAGAGAACAAAGTCATTTGGTTATCTACCTTAAAACACTCCCAGTGCTTACATACATTGAGTCACCTGGTGAATCCTTTATGTTCTTCCTCATAATGAGTTGATCAGTTTTGTTGTGCCATGTACTCATATATGAAATATGAGGACCCTGTCTCAGAACACATGTATGTGGGCAGCCCTGGTGGCTCAGCAGTTTAGCACCGCCTGCAGCCCAGGGTGTGATCCTGGAGACCTGGGATCGAGTCCCCCATCGGGCTTCCTGCATGGGGCCTGCTTCTCCCTCTGCCTGTGTCTCTGCCTCTCTCTCTCTCTCTCTCTCTCTCTCTCTGTGTGTGTGTTTTTCATGAATAAATAAATAAATCTTAAAAAAAGAACACATGTATGTATTTGTGAGCATATGTGTATGCATGTAGATTTACATACGTGTATATAAAATAAATGTATTAATATTATTATATAATAGCTTGTGTTATTATATTACACTGCTTCACATTTAATATAAAAACAACAGCATACCAACATTTACCTATCGTTCTTTGTGCTATTGTTGTGATACATTTTATTTCTACATGTTATAAACCCTGTATTATATTATTCTGCTTTAAGCAGGCAACAGTCTTTCAAAGAAATTTAAAAATGGGGAAAAATGTTTTGTATTCAGCCACATATTTACCATTATGATATTCTTCATTTTTTTTTAAATGATTTTATTTATTCATGAGAGGCACACACACAGAGAAAGGCAGAGACACAGGCAGAGGGAGAAGCAGGCTCCATGCAGGGAACCCAACGTGGGACTCGATCCCGGGTCTCCAGGATCACACCCTGGACTGAAAGCGGTGGTAACTGCTGAGCCACCGGGGCTGCCCGATATTCTTCATTTCTTTGTGTAAATCCAAATTTCAATCTGTTATAATTTTTCATCACTCTGAATAATTTTCTTTAATAATTTTGATAGCATAGGTCTTCTTATGATGAATTTTCTCAACTTGTATTTCAAAATATAACTATTTTACCTTCATTTTTAAAAAGCAATTTGGTTGGGCAGCCCTGGTGGCTCAGCGGTTTAGCGCTGCCTTCAGCCCAGGGTGTGATCCTGGAGACCCGGGATCGAGTCCCACGTCAGGCTCCCTGCATGGAGCCTGCTTCTCCCTCTGCTTGTGTCTCTGCCTCTCTCTCTCTCTCTATGTCCCTCATGAATAAATAAATAAAAATCTTTGAAAAAAGTAATTTGGCTGCATATATAATTCTAAGTTGACATTTTTTTTATTTTAGCACATTAATGTCATCCTATTGCCTTCTGGCATGCATGGATTCTGATAAGAAGTGAATATCCTTATCACTGATTTTCAGCAATTTCCCTATGGTGACTCAAGGGATTCTTGGATCTGTGGCTTGATATTTTTATTAAAATTAGGAAAATTTTTGGACATTTTCAGAATTTTGTTTTGAAATAATTGTAGGGTCAACAGGAAATTGGAAAAATGGTTCAGAGAGGTCCCATTTACCTTTTACCCAGTTACTTTACTCCTAATGTTTATATCTTAGATTAATATAGTATAACATCAAAGCCAGGTAATGGACATTGACATAATGTATGCATATAATTCTAAGTAATTTTATCACATGTGTATATTTATGTAACCATCACTATGGTTCTATAGAACAATTGTATCACCACAATGATCCCCTTGTGCTACTATTTCATAATAATAACCCACCTCCCTCCTCCCAATTATTCCTAACCCTGGCTCTACTTACTAATCAGTGTTCAGTCTCTGTAATGAGAATGTTGTGTAAACAGAATCATAGAGTATGTGATCTTTTGAGATTGGCATTTTTCATTGAGCACAGTGCCTTTGAATTCCATCTAGGCTGCTGCATGCCTCAGTAGTCAATTCTTGTTGTTGCTGAGCAATATTCTATGATGTGGATGTATCACAAATTGTGTGTTCACCTACTGTGGGACATTTTGATTGTTTCCAGTTTTTGCTCTTGTAATAATGTGTTATAAACATCAATGTACTGATTTCTGTATAGATGTGACTTATTAATTTCTCTGGGGTAAATGTCCAGGAAAGTAATTTCTGGGTCATATGGTGGTTGAATGTTTAGCCTTTTTTTTTTTGGTAAGATTTTTTTTTTTGTAGCAAGAGGGAGAGAGAGAAAGAGAGAATCTTAAGCAGGCTCCATATTCAGCACAGAGTCTGACATGAGGCTCCATCTCACGACCCTGAGATCATGACCTGAGCCAAAATCAAAGTTGATCACTAAACCGACTGAGCCACCTGGGTGCCCTGATTGTTTAACTTTTAATCAAGTGCCAAACTGTTTTCCAAAATGGATGTATCACTTTGTATTCTCACCAGAAATGAGTGAATGATCCAGTTTCTTGGCATCTTTGCTATATTTCATATTGTCACTGTTTTTTACTTTAGACACTTTGATAGGTGTGTTGTGCTAGCTCGTTGTGTTTTAATTTGTATTTCTCCAAGACTAATGATGTTAAACACTTTATAATTTACTTACTATATGTATATCCTCTTCAGTGAAATGTATGTTCATTTTTTAAAAATTTTATTTATTCACAGAGACAGAGAGAGAGGGGCAGAGACACAGGCAGAGGGAGAAGCAGGCTCCATACAGGAAGCCTGACATGGGACTCAATCCCAGGTCTCCAGGATCACACCCCAGGTTGCAGGCGGCACTGAACCGCTGCACCACTGGGGCTGCCCATATGTTCATTTTTTTGCCTATTTCCCAATGAGACTGATATTTTACGGTTCAAATTTAGAATTTAAAAAAAAATACAGATATGGGTCCTTTCTCAGATACGTGGTTTGCAAATACTGTCTCTAAGACCATAGCTTACCTTTTCATCCTCATAACTGAGTCACATAGCCAAAGTTTTAGATTTTAATGCAATTCAATTTATCTTTTTAAAACAAATTTTATTTATTTATTTAGAGAGAGCATATGTGAGTTGGGGGAGGGGCAGAGGGAGATGGAGAGAATCTCAAGCAGACTCCATGCTTAGCACTGAGCCTGATACAGGGCTTGATCTCATGACCCCAAGATCATAACCTGAGTCGAAATCAAGAGTCAGACACTTAACTGACTGAGCCACCCAGGTACCCCTCAGTATCATTTTTTAATGGATCGTCCCTTAGTGTCCACATTTAGAACTCTTCTGCTAATCTTTCCCATTTATAAACTATTTTATGATTTTAGGCTTTAGATTTATTCTGGTGCTCTATTTTGAGTTCGTTTTTATAAGATATGAAGTTTAGGTTGATTTTTTTTTTTTTGCCTGTGGATGTTTGATTCCTCCAGCACCATTTGTTAAAAAGATCATCTGTGCTCTGTTCAATTGCTTATGCAGTTTTTTTCACAAGTCAGTTGACTATATTGATTTGGGTATATTTCTAGGTTTTCTATTCTGTTCCATTGTTTTGGGTATATTTCTGGGTTTCCTATTCTATTCCATTGTTTATCCCTCTGCCAACATCACACTGTTTTGATTACTATAGCTACATAGTAAGCTTTTATATCTGGTAGAGTGATTTCTCCCACTTGAATATTGCATGGCAAGATTATTTGGGGGGAGTACAGAATTACTTTATTTTGGAGGAATGGTACAAATGAAAGAAGTTGAGTAGATGTTTTGGTATGACTTCTACAAAAGGTAAACATAACACCAACATTCATGCACTGCCTTGCTGACCAGGGAATTCACTCTCGTGGCTGTGGGAAAACAGTGTAGGGCTTAGGTCTCATTATCACTGTTTCCCAAGGTGTGCTTGTCAGAGAGATACTCTCCAGATTCAGGAGCCCCCATCTTGCACAGATTGGTTACATGGTCATCCAGTTCTTTGATGAATTTCACCTGTTCATCAGATAATGAGTCTCAATGAAGTCATACAAATGGGGTCGTTTTTATTAAGTGACCAGTTTGTACAGTTCCAGTAGTGACTGATTCACCCTCTTTTCCAAGTGTAATGCACACTGCATTGCGTTCAGCCCATTTTCCCAGTAATCACCATCTGGCCTCTTGGTATCCTGAAAGAAGATTTGGCCACCTTGTTGGTTCTGCAGCTTCATCAGTTTCTCACATGATCCCTCTCCTCATGAGACTGGCAAAGAAAATATTTGGCAAAGTTTTTGAAGCCACATCTTTGTGGTCAAAGTAGTAAGACACGGGCAGGTAGACCTAGGAGGCAAAGGGCTCCAGGTTGACCTGGTGGTTGCGGGTGGCCTCTGAGTCCTCATGGTAGTTTTGGTGCACCTGCAAGGGGGTGCAGTCATTATAGCAGCTGCTGAGGAGAGGCAGTGGCCGGCAGCTGTGGCTGCATGGTGCTGCAGTGGCAACAGGGGCTTTGGGACCAGCTGTTGGCTCTGTGAGGAGATAGCGGAGGGCTGGCTCTGAACAGCTGCCAGGGTGGGGGATGAGCCCTGATTTCTATACAAGCACCACTGAAGCAGGAAGCTGTGGTGACTCTTGTTGGAGACTCAATATTCTGTGGCAAAATTAGTTATTTACATAACTACATTAGTTATTTACATAACATATTCACATAATATTTTATATGTGAATTTAATAATAATCTTACCTGT